AAGACTTAGAGTCACTACCTACGGCTATGTCTCAAGTCTAGTGTACAACTCAGAACCACTACCTACGGCCATGATACTGATCAACCTGGTACCTAGGCATCGGTTGGGTGTTACTTGCAATCCTACGGATTAGATCCTAGATTCCATTAACTTACATCTTTACCCGAATGCCACTAGACATTAAGTCCACAAGGCTCTTCAACCTATTAACAACTTCCAAATATTAATCTTCATAAGGTAGTCCTAGATAGGGATGTAAACAAATCAAATATTTTAAATTTGATTCGCGATTCGTATTTGAATATGATGATTCGAATTCGCGTTATTCAAATACAAATTCAAATTCAAATATTATTTTTGATTCGAATATTAATCAAATACAAATACAAATAGGGATATATTCGATTAGGATGATATTCGAATATTCGAATATATGCATATATACACAGACCATGTTTTCAACATCAAAAGTCAAGCAAAGTAATATACGGAGTAGTATCAAGTGTATTTAAAATACTAAGAATTCAATAAATTAACGTAACACAAAAATCTAAAGCATATGATTTTTAATAGTTATATTTTATAAAATATAATTTGTGTAAGATGCAAATGTATTAATGTTTTTATATAGGGAATATAGTATAGTATAAAGAGTATCGTAAGTTAAATTACAAATTGATGTTGGTCNATAAATTACATAGTATGATTATTCAAATATTCGTTTATGATTCGATAACTATTCGAATATTAATCAAATATTTATTCAAATATTATTTTGAATTCGTCTCATATTCGAATTTGGATTCGTATTCGAAAAAACTAAACAAATACAAATTCAAATATATCGGTATTCGCTTCGATTCGATTCGTTTACACCCCTAGTCCTAGAGTTCTTTTAAATAACCTATGTCAATAAATCACTTTACATATTCAGGTCCATACTAACAACAACGTAACCTCAGTTCACTATACTTGTTCAGAACATATATATTATATTTAGATTATACCAAGAGAGATAACAATAACCAGATAAATCATCATATTATCCAAATAGCGGCCTAGTGTTATATGTAAAGACCTTCCACTAACTGTCATGCAACACTTAAGATCTCGAAATCAATCCGTGACTTAGTTAGAACATCAAACAAACAAAAAAGCTCAGTTAGTGTCAAACATAGTACCTCAATACCGCCAGGCGGTACCTTGGTACCGTTGGTTGGTACTAACCTACTGTCTGAGCGCGGGTACCAACGTCGTGTTCCAGGATCGACAACTTCACTGCAGCGTCATCGTCAAAACTCGGCTCTGTTATTTTTTTTCTTCATGATCATCCTTTGTAATTTGATGTGTGTGTGTGTATACGTTATATATGTATATGTATTAAGTAGAAAAAGGTGGTTTAGGTTTCCCTTTTTGTATGTGGTAGAAGTAGGAAAAGTTAGATTTAGGTATATGGTCACATTTTTACGAGATCTATGCAATTAGTCAAATTTTGAATAAAAGAGTTGACTTTATGAATAGTTTATATTTTTGGTTCAGAAAATAGTATAAAATATTATATTATATTTATTTTTCTCAAAATGACGGCTAACTACTAAGCAGGTTTTCAGGGCGTTACAACTCAAATCGTTGAGAGGTGAGCTATAAAGGGGGAATATTTGGGTTCGGCTCCCGATAAAAATGACCATGCTCTACATGAAATTCTTACACATTCCTAAGACAACACCCATTTCCAATTATCTTGGTGGGAACTTCAAAATGTTTTGAGTGAGTTCACTTGACCTCACTTGATCCCCAATAAGGCCTTATTAAATTTTTTTGAGTGAGTTCACTTGACCTCAATTATCTAGTTTCTTCCAACTCCTTCCACATTCTATTAAAAACGACTTTAAAATGGTACGGTATTTATATATGTTGAATATACAATAACGTTATATATCTAAATGTATATCAAACCACCTCAAACACGTACAAGGACAATTTTTTATTATCCAAAATTAGAGTTTTGTTAGATATTTATTTGGGTGATCATTTAATTGAGTAATTTTTTAACACTTTAATTATTTCAATATTTACCAATTCCTTCCATTTTTTTCAACTTCTATTGTTTTTCAACACCAATCTCTGAAATTCCATCTAAAAGAATAAGGCCTAAGGCCCGTTTCGTTCAACTTATTTTTTTCTTATTCTTATTAAAATCAGATCAGAGCTGATCAGATCAGATCTAACCAGATCAGATCGAATCAGATTAGGTCGAATCAGATCAGATCCAATCAGTTCAGATCCAACCAGATCACATCAGATCGTATCAGATCAGATCAGATTAGATGAGATCCAATCAGATTAGATCGGATCAGATCCAATTAAAAATTATTATTATTATTATTATTACTAGTAGTATTATTATTATTAGTATTATTATTATTATTATTATTATCATCATCATCATTATTATTATTATTATTATTCTTAAAAAAGAAAAAAGAATAAACTTTAGAAACAAGTTAAATAGAACACTGAGAAAATAATTCTTAATTATTAGACGTCGGAAAAATTATTTTTAAAATACATTGGCAATGTCAATCTAATTCTACTTTTAAAATACATTTTTATTGCTACTTGTAATTTGAGTTTCTAAAGTTTTGATCTTTTACTACATCGAGTTGATCAACTTTGAACATGACTTAAATAAAATTAACATTTGATATTCATATACGAAGTATATTTTAGTGCAACTGAAATAATTATTATATTTATGATGTTATATAAATCATAAAAAAATTTTCGTAGTACAAAGCACACATTGATATTTTATAAGGATGAGATCTTTTAATAAAAATACTATCTCTTCTCTATATTCATTTACTAAATTTAATGACTTTTTAATGTATATAGGAATTAAATATTTATTCTAATCTATATATCAACTAATTATTAAAATATTAAATCAATATTCTTATTATCACATTATAATATGAATGATTATTCTAATTTATGAATTAACTAAATTTATTTCAATAAAAAATAATTATAAAATAAAAAATATTGATTATATTAATTTATGGTCCTTTTTTTGATCTTCTGTCGTGTTGGTGTTAATTTAAAGACTAAAAGTATAATTTGACATCAACATTATATTTAGTGACGTGTTCTGATATTGGTTAAGCAGATAACATAAAAATAATGACTATGATTGTGGGCTAGAGTTCTAACGAAAGACAACATTTGTAGACTATGGTTGTAGTAGAAAGCGACTGTAATTCAGAAACGACGCAAACGGAACAGCCTTTGAAATTGTGTATGACAAAAAAGATATATTATCATTGTGAAATTACACTTTTAGCTCTCAAATTAACACCAACATGATAGAAGATAAAAAAAAGGACTATTTGTGGAAAGATACCCATAAAAGAAAGACCACTTAGATAATATTTGATAATAGAGGACTAATTAGGGAAACCCCTGTTATAAAGGACCAATTATAGAATTTACTCATATTCATTCAATTTTAAACTTAAACTTCCAAAAATCATGATTGTTAGTTAAACAAAAAAATGCATTTTGAATTCATGGAAAGATCTATACTTTTCTCTGTCGAACAATAATGTTCACGTTCACTATTTATATGATCAAATGTTATTTACTTTATTGGTTTATTTTCATTACCTATTCGATAAAATAATAGTATAATAGTGTCACCTCTAGTTTGTAAATTTTTTAATGTAGTATTTAAATATGTAAACTTCATTTTTTAATTCCTTAAAATTTTTCATATAAAATGATTTGAAAATAACTTTAGTCAAACATTGTAACGCGCAACGAAAATATTATTATTGGAGGGAGGTAATATATAAGTATTTAATTAAGGGTGTATTTGAACTTCCACTTTTTTTCTTTTTTGAATGCTCAACTTCAACTTAATAAAGTAGAGTTGTAAAGTACTTAATAGTTTGTTTTACATGGAGTTAAAAGGATTGTGTCTTGAAAAAACAAATTGAGACCTAGAAGCGCTTTTCTAGAAAGGTGAAAGTGTTCATATGGTCTCTTATCCCAAAATAATATTATTTGAATAAAATTATTTTCAAATCAATATAAATAAAAATTGGTGAAAAATAAAAAATACTCTATTCGTTCCTAAATCATTTAATCTTTATGCAAAATAGAGTAATATAAAAATTTAAAATTTTTCAATTCATTTTATTTAAATATTGGTATATAAATAAAAAATAAAACTTAAATATTTAAAAAAATACATCAAAAATTCTACAAAACAAGAGGTAATAAGAATATTTTATTTTATCAAATAATAAAAAATTACGTAAATAAACCAAAGTTACCGTGATTTTTGAATAATAAAGTGTATAAATAATTTTAAAAGGGTAATTTACGAATGAGACTCAAACATATAATTTTTCCATAAATAAGACCAGTGATATTTACTCTCACGTTTGACAATAGAAAATTCAAAAATGTCATGACTTTGAAAAAAATGACCTATTACATATTTCAATTAGAATAAGACATTATTAAAAATAATTTAAATAATAACTAAAATAATCAATCATTATCCAAAACTTATTGCTAATGACCGTATTCGTAGAGTCATTTGCATATTTAGTCATTATGCAAAACTTGTTGCTAATGAGGATATATATGGCAAATTTTGTGAAAATATGTGTCATAAAGGAAATAAAACATATTTGATCCTATTCAGGAAAACAAACTACTCTCTCCGTCCCACTGTTTTTGTCCACTTTTATTTTTACACACCATCCAATGCACTTCTTTAATCCATTTTATCTTGTAATTTATATATTAAAAAATTATAAAAATTATATATTAATAATCTATATGTTAAGACAAATCAAACAAGATCACACATGACTATATTTAGGTTTACACATTGAGAGAATTTGATGAGTCAAAGTGCTTAGATGAACAGTTCCAAAAGTCAAAAGTGGACAAAGAGAGTGGAACGGAGGTAGTATCTTTTAGTCTTATATGGAGCAAATCTTTTATTTAATTTCAGAACGGGGGAAATATATATTAAAAAATTACATCAAAATTCTAATAAAATATAATGACTCAATAATATTATTTTATCTAATGATTAATTAAAATGTGTGGAGTATAATAAAGATAGAGATAGTTTTACATGTGAATAGTTACTAAGAACATTATTTTAGGACCAAGGATTATTAGAATAGAACAACCATGGGAAAAAAAGGTAAAAATGTTGATGATGACCTAGTTGATAGAGGTGGCGAGATTACGCCTCCATAGTCCATCCTACAAATTAAATGTACGTGCCTTCTCGTCGGTCACTGTTTATGGCACAATTGTCATAATCTTGATATAGTCAGTATACGAAGTAATTTAATTAACGCCAAATTGGAGACTACTCCGTACGTATAAGTGAAACGACATAATTCACTACGTACACATACGTTTGCTGTAGCTATGGCGTTTTCCAGGTTCGCAGGCCAATGTCATTATGCCGTCTTGAAGGAGTTGACGCCGGCACCGGAAACCTCTTCGGGAGCAAATTGAAGTAATAGTGGACGCCGCTGCCGGAGGTGAAGTTGTTGCCGTGGTTGACGACCGCCGCCATCTCGTTTCTTTCTAGTCCTCTTGAACCGCCACCGCCTTCACAGTAGCCGCCCGTCAGACCCAATGCTAAGACCAAAGCCAACCACATAATTACCAGAGATACACCACACCAGCTTCTGCTTATTGGCCAGTTTCTTCTCATCATTTTCTATAATTTGAAGAGAGAGAGAGAGAGAGAGAGAGAGAGAGAGAGAGATCATTTATGAATGAAAAGGTTTTGTACGTAAAGTGGAGGAGGGGCAGAAAACATGGAGTAGATATAAATAATTAATAATGTCTGACCAGAGAAGTTGGAGAATTATTTGTGGCCCGGTCGTGTGCGTGTACAGGACACACAATAAAGATGACATCAGCTAGAGCCATAATAATGATTGTGAGTATTGGGCTTTGTTTGGCTTAGAAATAGATGAGGGTGGAAAAGAGATTTAGAGGTTCTATCCTAAAGTAGCTTTTAGTCTTTTAGATGAGAGATGGGGATATAAATGAATAGTAGGGAAAAAAGATGTGAATGACAGGAGATGATTAAACAATGACTTCTCTTTGTCGATTGCTCATCACACCAAAGAAAATCGAAATAGGACGAGACAATGGGATATGGTAGGGGCCCAAATGTACCCCACTCCCCTTTCTACCATTCAATTTATTTTGTTTTTATTTTTTTTTTTTGAATTTTTCTTGTCTTTTTTTGTGGTGATAGAGTGGGTGGGAATGTTTGGGGTACACTAGTACCTAGACTCGGCAAAACAGACCCGGACGCGATAAGTTGAATCGAATAATCCAGAATCGAAACCGAAATGATCTAAAAGTTGAAGAATTGAATTAAACCCGAACACCCAAAATGATCTAAATCAAAACCGAAACGAATGTATCCAGACTCGATTCAGATCTGGATCCGAATCCGATTGAACCCGAACCAGCTTGACACAAACCGATTAAATTTGGAACCAATTAGACCCGAAACGATTATACCCGAAACCAATTAGACCTAAAAATCTATTAGACCCAACATTGATCAAGTTCATAACAAATTAAACTTAAATCCAGTCAAACCTAATAGCTCATTGGTTGATGTTTTTCTAAGAAAACATATTTGAATTATAGGTACAACTTATTTAATGTATAAATCTTTTACTCCGTATTTTCTCACTTAAACTAAGGTTGTCTATTTTCACAGAGAATTTATATAAATTATAGTGACATCGTAACACGCATTAATGGATATACTAGCTTATTATTGTTAACACTTATATATGTACTCCCTTTATACATGGAGAGGAGAGGCTACACACAAGGCTAACATTAGAAACTCTAATATCAATGGATCTAATCTCAAACCGGTATAAACTCGAACCGATATAAATCCGAACCGGTATACCCGAATCGATGTAAAAGCGAACTGAAATAAACCTGAATCGAAATCCAACCACAATCGAAAAAAATCAAATCGAATTTAACCCCAAACTGAACTAACCCTAACCGTACCAACCTGAAGCGATTATAACAAATATCCAAAAGAGGCCCGAACCGAAAAGATTCAAATTAGAACATAACTGATTGACCCGAGTGCCATGTCTACTTCGTCGTACATTATACATGGGAGACCTCCATAGTTCGAGATCTGGTGGTTTCAATAAAGAGTAATCCTTTATATATAAATTTGAGAGTTTGATGCATATGTGGCACAATATAGGATATACATGTGGCCAAATATGGAACATATTATGTGGCTTTTCATTTATGACCTAGACTCCATTAAATATTATTTGACATGTGATTAAACTTTTATTTTTGATCAAAAATAAAATTATTAAAAATAATTTTTTAAATAAATCTTTTATATTAAATTATTAAGAATAAAAATATTCAAAAAATCCTTTATATAAAATGATTAAGCTTTTATGTTTAGGAAGTTCATATATGCATTACTTATGTGGCTTTTACACCTAATATGACACATAATTTAAGACATAAAATATGAAAAACTATTTTGGTATGAAATTTTTGAATAAATTTAATTATGAAATATTTATATTCATTTTTATAATAAATTTTTTTCATGATTCAGTATTTTTTCTTCATTTCTAACAAAATTTTCAATTACTTAATACACTACTTTCTTCGCATCTAAATAAATTTCACATCATTTTTTGTTTATGATAAGTTAAAATGAAGTTATTTTTATTAGGTTTTAGGATATGATAATTGATTTAAGTAAATTATATAATGTAATTTATTAAAATAAAATTTTATTTCTGTTTTTAATATGGTTAAATGAATTATATTTTTTATTTATTTGAATATAAAAAATAAAATGAAAAATAGCTCTAAGTTAATACGGAGTATTCTATAAAACAAGAAGTGTCTAGATTATTTTTTAAATGATCAATTGTTTATAAATTTCCATTCAGAATCATAAGATTGCTAATATTTTTTTGTATTATTTTTTGTTCGAAATAATGCATTAGAGAACAACCATTGAAATTTTAATGTTTATTTAATTTTTTTTTTAAATCATACATTGCATAATTCAAGATTTGACAGTAAAGTGAATCGAGACAAATAATCAATAATGTTATTTAAATTATTTAGACATTTCAATCTGTGTAACATATATACATATGGGGGTAAAGAACACTTGCTATTTCTGAATTAAAAATTACAATTAAAGAAATATCCCTAGGTAGAGGTAAAAATTATTAAAATACAAAAATATGAGTCTTAAGTCTTTTAATACCAAAATATTAATATAATGACAGGGTAATGTAAGAGTATACATTGGAGTGTGATGGAAAAGTGATAACAATAAGGCATGTGTAAGAATCCGAGAATGCAATGAAGAATGAATGTTTACAATAGTGGCAACTTTTTGTAAACAATAAATTATTTTTCGATTTGTATCCCAAGAATATTCGTATTTGCTTGAATCTATGTGTGTTGAACACTTTGTATAATGAAATCTTCCATTTGACCAATCTTGAAGAAAATGTTTGATATTTACATGATCCATTCTGATGTTGAAAATAAATATTTTTCTAACTTGCACTGGTCATGCATCTTAGAATGATATTTGTGGTTAACTCGTAATGTTTATAGACAATATTATTCCAACACAAATACAATTGAGATTACATGTAGTATTACAAGTGCAACTCTAAATCTAATCTCCCAAGATTTGCAAACTCATCATAACTAGCCCATGACCTAGGAAAGCTTTAGCAAAGTCTAGTTTGTCTAAAAGCTCATCAATGAAAAAAGAAGAAATGAAAAGTTTCCTCTAACTCAAAGCCATGAAGTTCTATGAATTATAGGCGAGGATAGTTTATTTGGAGAAGATGATGAAATTGGAGAAGACAATGTCATAAGCGCTGAAACCGGAAAAATGAAAATAATAACTTGCAATTAGAGTAAAGAAGTAAATGAAATTGGAGAAGACTATGTCAGCTGCGATTAAAAGAAACATTTACAATTGACACATATACGGGGCATATGCTACGGAGTATATAAATAAAGGAGAAAGACTAAAAATATGAATAAAACATTAACAAAAAACCAAAATATACTTTTATGTTTTTATCTCTAAAATAAGAATTACAATGCCAATATTATCAAAATATAATACCAAAAATAAATTGTGTCAATATGTCACATTGTCATAAAGTAAAATCTTATTTTAGAAATAGAAATGTCATCCCATTTTTGAGATAATGACTATGTTTGCTTCTACTTTGCGTGATTTTTTTATAATAAATTCTAAAGTATAATAATAATAATAATAATAATAATAATAATAATAACAACAACAACAATAATACTCCGTAATAAAGAAAGGGTAACAATGATCAACAAACAATAAAAGACATTAGAGTCGCAACTTGGAAATTCTACCCAATCTCGAGCTATGCATATATAAATAAAAACATACAACTAGTGACTAGTGTTGAACCACCACTAAATCGCAAATTATACGGTACACCCAGTTCTACCTAGAAATGGGTACAACCGGCTAATTAGGGAAGAAAAATTCATGGAACGGAAGTCGCTGGAGTTGAAGTCGCTCGTCTTTTTGCCGGGTCAAACCATCGGAGACGAAGGACATGGAGCAGCGAAGACGAAAATCCACAATACAAAAGGAAGATAGAGCTGCAAAGGTTGCCGCTGCTTTACAGAGATTGACGAAGAAGAAAGGCGGTAGATGGGAGGAGAGGCCTCCAATGAAAACCCTAGTCGGGTGGAAGCCTGAGAGAAAGGTTATTTATGCTGAGTTTTATTTTATTTGAAAATGAGCATTATGTAATTTGAGAATGAGTACTATTTTAATTTAAAATGAACATTACGTTATTTGTAGATAAATATTATAATTGTAATGAATAAATGTGTGAAAATGAGTACTACATTATTTCAGAATGAGTACTACGTTATTTTAGAATGAGTACCACGCTAATTCTAAATAAATAGTTATGTTTGTGCGAGAATGAGTACTACTCTACTTCAAAATGAATATTACCCGGATGTACCTATTCCTAGGTACATCTGGTTGTACCATATACCTTCTCCCACTAAATGGGGCTTTGTTTTTTCAACTCCCGCAAGCTGTGCATTCTTCACGATTTTTTAAAGAGCACGCCATTTTGGCATCGTCAGTACTTTCCTGCATTTAGGAAATAAGGAACTATTTCAGATTTTGGAAGAATAAATGGGAAAATGGACGAGAATGTTATGAATGACTACTTTGAGCATTGATTTATCCACGGTGAACTTGATAGCATCCGCTGCTGCTTGTGATCTGAGATAGTACATTCCAGTTTTCAACCCCTGCACATCCGCATACCAAAAGAATGTCAAAGACCAGAACCACCAGGAAGACAAATGAAATTAGCAGTTTTTATAGCTATTTCTTACATCAAATACTTAATAAAAAGACTCGATTTTTTTTATTTTATTTTTTTATTTTTTTATTCTGGCAACAATGCTCACTTCTAAAGCAACAAGTGCTATATCAGATAGGAAAATATATGTAAGGAGTAAATTAACTTCAAGAAAGTGAGTACCCTGGACCAAGCATAAAAATGCATGGAAGTAAGCTTTCCAGTATTAGGTTGGTCCATATGGATGTTCAGGCTTTGGCTCTGGTCTATATAGCATCCACGATCAGCAGCCATATCAACCAATGTCCGTTGCTTGATCTCCCAGACGGTCCTAACATCCGTAATTAATACAATTAGTCACAGAATTGGAGAAGAATGTGCGTGGAAAAGTAAAAGTGCACCCCACAATTACTTGTAGATTAATTTGAGCTCCGGAGGGATTTCAGCGATTTTCTGCACAGATCCATCCTCGTGTATAATCTGGTTCTTAAGCGCGGGAGACCAAAGACCCATCTCAGTTAAGTCGTGAAGAAGATGTTTGTTCACCACAACAAATTCACCGCTGAAAGTACAGTAACAGTGACAAACTTTAAATGAGATGGTACCAAACTACTATAATATTTTTACTTGTACAAACTAAGAGAATCTGGTGTCAAGGGAACCTTAGAACTCGGCGGCTATAGATGTTGGAAGTGTATGGCTCAAAGCATTCATTATTTCCGAGAATTTGGCTCGTTGAAGCAGTGGGCATCGGTGCTACAAGAAGGGAGTTTCTAACTCCACTCTTTTGTATCATCGCCCTCAGATCATCCCAATCCCATCGATTTGAAGGTGTAGCTCCCCACATATCTGGCTGGAGGATACCCTGAACAATCAAATCAGCCAATTCAAGTGAGCATTGTGGAATCAAATATGATTTATCAACAAATTTAACATGCAATGCCTAAGTTCATTATGTAAATCTACAAATAGAAATTCCACCATATACCTTGCTTACGGGACTACCATCATAGGTTTCATAACGGCCTTCCTTTGCAGCCAAGCTAGATGAAGCTTTTAATGCGTGGTAGTATATTGTTTCAAATATTTCCTTGTTTAGTTGCTGAGCCTGCAAGGATGGCATTTGAGTACAAAACAAATAATGCATCAATGTAAAAGGAACAAATCTCACAAGATAGTTTACCTCCTGTGAATCAAAAGCCATGCCAAGTAATATAAATGCGTCAGCAAGACCTTGAACCCCAATCCCAATGGGCCTATGACGTAAATTAGAATTTTTTGCAGTTTCAACAGGATAAAAGTTGACATCAATAATTTTGTTCAGGTTTGTAGTAACTAACGCAGTAACCTGTTTTTGATATTAAAGGAACACATTAGACAAATCTCAGAATTACAATAATGAGAAAGATATGTATTACATTATTAAATAAGTAATACCTCTGCCAGTTTGTCAAAATCAAAGTATCTATTTGCAGAGCCTCTACTACCAACAAGCTTAGATGGTTGTGATTCAATTGGAACTCCCTGCAACATAAGAAGCAGACAGCTGATTAAGAAAGCAAGCTCTTTTTCTTAGAAAAATAATCAGGACTAAATATGCATCCAAGGCATTGGGTAATGACCATATCCCTGACAAATCGTGGCAAAGCAATTGAAGCCAGATTGCAGACCGCAGTCTCAGTTGGGCTTGTGTACTCGATAATCTCAGTACACAAGTTAGAAGACTTGATGGTGCCCAAGTTCTGCTGGTTACTTTTTCTGTTGCAAGAGTCCTATGACAATAAAAAAAATTAAATGGTTTTTCCAAAATATTAAAAAGTAAGACTCAAAACACAATTATAGAATATGCATGTGAGCTCACCTTAAATAACATGTAGGGGGTACCAGTTTCTATTTGAGACTTCAAAATTTCAAACCAGAGACTTTGAGCCCGAACAACTTTCTTTGCCTTGCCCTGAGAAACATGAAAGGTCTAAGAACAAAATATAAAGAACTGTTAAGTGTTAGAATAGTATGACAATTACCTTTCTTTCATAATCTGTGTAGAGTTCCTGAAATTCTTCACCCCAGCAATCCGCCAAACCTGGGGCCTCACTTGGACAAAATAAAGACCATTGCCCATCACTATGCACTCTTTCCATAAAGAGATCAGGAACCCAGAGAGCATAAAAAAGATCTCTTGCCCGATGTTCTTCCTGAAAACAAAAAAAGTTCTTACCTAGAAGAAACTGACTATTTTAAGTTGTGAGATTAATAATTACATAATTAGAGAAGAAAGAAGCTACTATTAACCACATATTTTTCATTAACAAATGAAAGAATTGATCAGGGACGACCTATAAAGAAAAAGGGTAAAGGAAAAGGAAACAAATGGAGTATAAAACATTTATACATTAAATTAGCCATACCTTTCCATGATTTTTTCTTAAATCCAGAAAGTCAAATATATCTGCATGCCATGGCTCAAGATACACAGCAAAAGCACCTGCAAGTAACATAAATAAAAAGAATAAGCAAGTTTGCAAAGTGTAGTCACAAGTTGAAACATGTTAGTGGTACCGAACTGGCCAACTGCATACCTTTCCTTTTGCCACCTCCTTGGTCAACATATCTTGCAGTATCATTAAACACACGTAGCATTGGAACAATTCCATTTGATGTTCCATTTGTTCCACGTATGTAACTCCCAGTAGCACGGATGTTGTGAACAGAGACACCAATTCCACCGGCTGACTTACTAATTACAGCACACTCCTTAAGAGTATCATATATTCCTTCAATGCTATCATCTTTCATACAGACAAGGAAGCAGCTACTCAACTGCAAACAAATGAAGAGAACAGTGTGAGGAATCAAGAAAATGTGCATTAGTATGACATAAAATGTAAAACATATAAGAATTTTTTTCACTGTGGCTAACTAGTAGCCAGCCCAATGAACAAGAATCCATAGTCAAAACATTCATAAGGGTGTAGGGAAGGGGCACACCCAAGAGGTGTAGAGTCTAGGCAGCCTAACTCAATTTTCGGTGGTTGAATCCAATGCTTGAACCAGTGAACTTGAAGTAACACCACAACACCTAAACTAGTGGGTCAATGTTCCCCATAAAATCTTTTTTCTTTAAAAGTACACTACTTCCTATGTCCTAAAATAAGAATGCACATTGAAATCAATACAGTTATTCATAAAGGTGAAATTGTGTGATTCAAATTTATGCAAAAGGAAAGAAACAAATACAAACAACTGAATTTTTGCATAAAAGAAAAGTGAACTTGTTATGAACAAAAGAATGTGGATCCTCTTTATGATAGGTCAGGAAACCTATGAGATCCCCAAGATGAAGAACTACTCTCTTGCCCGTGGCTACAAGAGGAAGAACTTCATGTTGGAAAAACAAGAGGGGTAGTAATGCTGCAAAACAGCATTGGAAGAATCGGAATATGAGGAACAATTTGATACACATAGTAAAGCGCGTATAAACACTTTAAGATTAATGTTATTTACCAATATATTTAATCGGATAAGATGTAAGTAATTAGAATGAGTATGAATGTTCTGTTGTATCCTAGTTGTTACGATGGCTAGGCCAGGCTGGGCGCTAGAGTACCTTCCAATCGCCTAGGCGATTAGGCACCGGCCTAGGCATCCCCTAAGCGAGTGGGCTATGGTAACCTTAATTTTATAGGTACTAATGTAAAACATATACAATGAAATAATTAATGTTATAGGTACTAATGTAAAAGCAAGAATAGATAACATATGTTACTTTAAAAAAATACAAAGTAGATTTCCTAAAAAAAGCTCCATAGAACATATATTCCGTATGTTTTAGTTACAAAACACCTTACTAAGAAAAGTCACCTAGTCTATCGCTGGTCAAAACCGAAGGGATTTTCATCAAAACCGAAGGGTCGCGTAGCCTATAGATTGAATTCTCCCTCACGTAAAGGACAATTCCGTTGATCGCAATCCCATAGAATATTACAATCTCGCGATCTTAATCACAGATCCGGGCGATTCATATGAATTTCTGACCTTCCTCATGATTCAGATCTCAAATCAACACCAAATAGACACCAAACGGAAGCCTCAGTCGCCCAGGTATGACAAAGCTAGGCGACCAATTGGGCATCCACAATACCTTGCCCAGACGCGTAAGCGTCGCCTAGGCGACACCTTGATAACTACGGTTGAATCTAAAACATACCCTGGGACTCCATATATAGAAAGAACAAACTGATCGAATGCGTCTGTTGACAAAATAACACAACTCTACGCAAAACATTTGAATATTCGGCCAGAACATTCAAATGTATGCAGCAGTTATTGTTAAACATTGCCTTTCAGCAGTTCTACGCGAAGCATTGCGTCTTATTGTGAAACATTTGAATGTTTAAGAGTAAACATTCGAATATATGAGTTTATTCGCAAAGTGTACAGGAAATTAATGCTAACATTCGGATGTATTGATTTTTACATTCGAATGTTTCCTTATTTTGACTCCGTTTATGAAAATCCAAAGGATTTCCATAAAGCAACATTGCCTAAAATAAAACTTTCCCGAGCTGACCCTGCAGCTTAACCAAAGCTAGGGGTCCTGCCCCTTTGACCCTGCAAGGGGCTCCCGCCCCTTAGACCCCTCTATGGAATTTCTAATATCATTAAACGAACGTGCACTCTGCACCACAGAACTCATTACCAACGCTTATTAAAATTCCTTTTTTATCTAAATAAATTCAATTACATGAAATAGCCAATGACACTAAAGTCACCAACACTGCACATCATATGACTAATCAGGAGGTATTGTTTAATTGCTTCAACAATGATAACCTTATTAATAATTTTGTGAGTATAAATAGGCAAAGTCTTACAAGACATCTACCATAATCATGCTAGGAATCATGAATCTTTACTTAGTGCATTAGATAATATAGAATAAGACCAGTAACAGGAAACTATTAATCTTCCTGAGCATGGCTTTACTTTTACTCTTTATGTTAATACTTTTTACTCTTTATGTTTACCTCTTGTGTGTAGCCTATAGATATGGTATTTATCCTTTGATTGAGTAATCAGAATAATATTTCCTCAAGCTTATCTCTCTCTACCCTCTATACCTCTTCTCTAACAATTTCCGTTACAGAGCATCGAGACTCTCTTTTTCATTCTTGAGAAGTCTCCACGCCTGTATCATTGGTATCAAAGCATTAAGATCTGGCACTAACGAGCTGACGAGAAGGAAGACAATCTGCAAGGATGCCGTCCATCAAAGAAACCCTCAAAAGACTGATCGATCAACAAAAGACAATCACACTTTGGATGTTGGAACAGAATAAGAGGATCAACGCTTGAATGGAGAAATACAAGAAGAGAATTGAACGAGAGTGGAAGAAGCGATTGGACACAAAAGCATCTTCTGTTTCCAAGCAAGAACGGATCAGTCAAATTGGCGAAGGTAATCATAGACTACTCAATTTCAATACTACAGTGGAAGTTCTTCAATTTGATGGAACTGATGTTCGAGTTTGGATTAAAAAGTGTGCTAAATACTCTGAGTTGTGTCAAGTTTCGGAGGAGAAGAAAGTAGATTTAGCTTCAGTATATATGATTGGAAAAACTAAGTTCTGGTTCAAGAGCTATGCAATGTGTAGACCTAACATCATTTGGGAGGATTTTGTGGTATATCTGAGTACCAGATACACAGATATACTAGGATCAAAACCTAGCACCAATTGGCAGGATTTCGTAATGGTTACAAGTGCTAAAATCAAAGAGGAGCTTATATTGAAAAGTATCAAGGAACTCAACAAGTTTCATGAATCAAGGAGTTTGGCAGATTGTGTTGGTAAGGTTGAAGAACTGAGTGCCTGTGCCTTGATGAAAAGGCTAGTACCGAGCATTTTTTTGGATAACCTTAAGGGATGCCTCAAACCTCACATTCAGTCATATGAGAGGGCTGGTATTGTGTGGAAGAAGACTGTTACCAGAAGGTCACATTCTTGACAGTGTAGTAGGGGGACTCAAGCCTTATCCTAAGGCAGCGGTGGAGACCTTTAACTCGGGATCATTAGAAGTAGCCGTGGAAAAGAAAATAGTGCAAGCTATTAAAGAACAGAAAACCATACAAGTTAAGTCAATATTCAGCACCAACAAGGCCTTACTTCCAACATCTAGGATTATTTCGGATAGAATAGAAGAGCAAGACCAGGTGGTTAAGCCACTATCCAACAGCAACAGAGCTTGGCTTCCTATTTCCCAAATTAAGTCTGCCAGTTTATCTCCAGAAAGGTTCATACCAATTAAGGTTGGGGCCAAGTGTATACTTGCTACAAGTGTGACTTGTACCAAGAGTATTCCAGTTTCAAGAGGACTTGGCTGTTGTGATGACAAGCGCTTTAAAAGGGGGCACAGATGAGTTAAGAAGATGACTCAACTATTTGTAGTAAAAGGGCCTGGAGATACTGAATCAGAGGAAAAACTAATACACACTAGGTCAGGTTGTCAACTGAAAAGAGGCAACTATTTCATCTCAATCATGGCTATCAGTAGCAATCAAGGCAGTAAACAGGTCTTGAGGGACATGAAGCAACAAGAACCCAAGAGACTCCTTCATTCCAGTGGAGTTGTTGACCTCAGTACACCCTTGCAACCTATTACTTCTTCACCTGATAACATTTGGCCTTACAAGTACACAATCAATGGAAATCACGGGTTTCAAACAGCGAAAGTTGCAGGATGTTATGGGCAGGAGCCAGTACACATTCTAACTGTGGGACTAGTAAAATGGGAATGCAGCAAGCAGGAAATGGGGTTTACATACAAAGGTAATATTTGTTTTTTAAGGGAAATGAAATATGAGGTGACAGTAACACAAATATCACCTCCCGTGATTCAAGGGCTATTGGAGATACCTATTGATTCTAGCAAGATGGAAGCTGTAAATGGTTGGACAACTGATACACGCAGGTTTCTCGTGTACCTTGGGAAGAACTGCCGTAAACGGCAAAGAGGAAGAGAGAGAGAGCCGAGAGGGGGAGAGTTTGGGAGAGAGAAGGAAAGAGAGTTTTTTAGGAGAGGAAAACTTGATTGTATTATGATAGTTTAAGGGAAGGAGACCTCCTCCTTAAATAATGTTGAGTTCCCCAATCCTACTAGAACTAAGTTAACTACCCTGTCGGTTCAAAAAAGGCGTCAAGGGAAAGAACCGAAAAGAAAACCCTTGAAGGGACTTATAATTCGTCCTCCTAAAGAAAAGCTAAGTACATAAATGAATTAACCATATTAAAATAAAATTAAACATAGTCTTGATATCTGCGTGGCGGACCCACGCTCCTCTTTGAACGGCGCGTTGCAATTGTTCCTTCGTCGTGTTTTACCGGGGCCGTGTCCGTATCAATTCCCCCGAGGTTAAGAACCGGCTTGTCCTCAAGACGGAGATCAGGAAAGTGGCGCTGCATTTCTTCAACGGGCTCCCAAGTGTCGTCGTCATGGGACCCATCTGCCCACCGTATT